CTGGCAAAAGGAGATGAGGACAAGAGCCGAGAAGAGGACTCGACCAACGCCTCGTGGACCGGTTGGATGTAGAGTTGGCGCCGGTTCACATGATTGCACAACATGTCTTGCTGCCCATTTTGTGCTGCGCCAGGTCCTCATTCGTTTCCGGTATCAACTCACGCTTGTTGCCCAACCGGCCGAATGCAGGCTGCACCCCCTGACCCCCCTGACCCGCCTGGCCCAGGTGGTGGGCCAGGCCGGTGGTATGGTGGCCAAAGTCGGAGCCGTCGGGACCGAGTCCCGGTCCCGAGGCCGACGCGGGTGCCAGTGCCAAAGTCGAGGCCGAGACCGGAGCCGGAGTCGGTGCCGGTGTTGGAGCCGGTCTGAAAATGTCCAATCCGGCCGATTTGCCGGGGCCCGGCTGACTCGAGTAGGTGACGGTTGTCAGGCCGGATTGGCGGACCGGCGAACCCACCGCCTGACCGGCCGCTCTGCCTGCGGGCCCGACCTGAGGCGGTGGTGGGCCGGACGAGTAGTAGGCGTTGTGCAGGGCCATATGGTTGCCAGGCAGATGTCCGTTGCTCTGACGACCTACCGGAGCTCGAGCAGACAGGCCGCCGGCCGCGGGAGCGGCAGCGGCGGCGACGACGGTGGCTTGTCCGGAATGGTATGGCTTCTGGCCGACCAAAAAGGGCGCCGTACCGCTGGACACTTGGGTTGCCGGGTAACTGTTGAGGCCAGCGTGGCCGGGACCCAGGGCAGGGCCGGGATTGGCCGAGCCCGAGGCCGGATTGTAGATGGTCGAGGCTGCGGCGCCCGGGGCCGCAAAGCCCTCCATCGTGTGCTTGGTTGGCCGGCGGGAACCAGCCCGGTTGCCACCGGCCACCGGAGCCACGACTGAACTGCTGCCAGCCGTGAACGAGCCGGCGACACCGGACGCCAACAGAGGCCCGGCGGAGTGGCGACTAGAGCCAGAGACACGCACAGACCCGCTGATACCGGAGCTCGGCTCGAGGGCGCTATCTCGAGGCTGCTTTAAACGGAGAATTAAAATTATTTACAGAAAGCACACACTACTTTCATTGTAATTAGTAATATAATAAAAATACATACATAAATGAATACGAGCATATAGACTGACATACATACATAGATACATAAACATGTGTATGCAAACAAACTCTTGGCGTCCTACATTAGTGAACTCACATCGATTACCCTACATATTTGTGAAAAACTATGCAATTTTATTTTTCGTATATAAGCAAAGTTTCGTGACTACATCTCATATAACCATGTAATCATGTTTGAAAATGATCAGCTTTTTATAAATGTTGAAATAACCACAGTTCAGACTTTTTTACCCCATTGCATTAAATACATAATACGATGTGAAATTATAAATATAAATATAAATATAA